TGTGTACTTACAAAAGACACCCAAGCAAGCTATTAGAAGTAATATAAAACCTAATAATATAACTAAAAATCAAATATAAAAGTAATTAAATGCAGTCCAAATCATATACATATATTCAATAGATCAATTATACAGTAGTAAAGCAACATGAACTTAACAAAAGTATATAGTGGATCTGATCCCACATGACATTTCTAACACATCTTTTTCTCTAGAATAAGTATTAAACTTGGTGTGCAAAGTAATTGAGCTTTGTCAAAAATTTGAATTTCATGTGTTTCAAACACATGATTAAAATTGCACCAGGTCTTGGAGTAAGAGACTTACATATTCTTAATCAAATTTTATTATATACTGATTTTTTTTTTTTTTTTTTTTTTTTGGTAATGCAGGAACCCGCAGCCAACCATATAGGTGCACTGGGTAAACCTACACTCTCGTATAATAGCTTGCAAACCATACGAGAGATGTAAACCACACTAGGCTAACCATGTGTGACAAGCTCGACCTAGCGACCGTTGGCAAGGGGATTCGAACTTGGGTCAATTGACCCAAGCTCTCTTGCTCCAACCGCTAGGCCACCACTAGGCCAAAACAGCTCACTGGCGACGTTTTTTTTGGCGACGATTTAGATATAGTCGCAACCTTGCGACGAATTACATTAAAAAACGTCGCCAATTGTCGAAAAACAAGATTTCGGTGGAAATCTCGCGACGAAAATATTAATCGTCGCCATTTGGCGACGATATTTCTCAAAACGTCGCAAATGTCCTCTCTTAGCGACGTATTTATATAAACGACGCACGAATTTTTTTTGTTGCAATTTTTTTTTTTACCTTCGCGACGAAAATGACGTATACGTCGCTAGTGCAATTGTCAAAAAAAAATATTTTATTGGATTTGCGACGAATTCGAAAAAACGTAGCGTACCAAAGTGGAATTATTAAATAATGTTTATTCTTCGCGACGAAAGTGTACGAAACGTCGCTAGTAAAAAAATTTGTTTAAAAAATTATAATTATTATTTGCGACTATAGTGTATTAATCGTCGCCAAAATAATTATTGGAAAAAAAATTGTTTTTATCTAGCGACGTTTCCTAAGGAAACGTCGCTAGGCTATTTTTTTAATTTTGTTGTGTGCGACGAAAGAGGTGAAAAACGTCGCTAAGAGATTCGTTAAAATTGAGTTCGCTACGATTTGTTGCAAATCGTCGCAAAGATTTTAATTAGAGTACAGACCCTAATTCGATTTCCCCAAATTTCTCTAACAGGTTTCTCTCTCTTTCACTCTCTCCGTCGGCGCCTCCCCCTCCGTCTGCCATCTGCCGGTGCCACTCCCTCCGCCGGCGCCTTCCTCTCCGCCGGCGCCTCCACCTCCGCGTCCGCCGCCGCCGTCGGCCCCCCCTTCGTCTTGCTCGTCCGCCGTCCGCCGCAACTCTCTGCCCAGCTCTCCGCCCAACATCCGGCGAGCTCTATACGGCGGCGCCGCCACCTCCCTTCTCCCTACGGCCTCGTTGATCTGTAGCTAGCCTTACTTTCCTCGTCTCTACCTAACCCTCAATCAACAACCACAAAAAGGTAACTTTGTTGCCCTAATTTTTTTTCATTTGATTTGAAATTCTAATAAAATTGATTTCAAGCAAATATCAGATTGATGAAATTAGGGCACTCGATAGGCAAATATCAGATTGATCATGATATTAAAAAAAAAATTGTTTGAGGATGATGATACAGTGAGAAATATAGAATAATTGTTTACCTTTTGGTGTTGATTTTAGTGAGACGTTGAATGTAATATAAATATATAATACATGTACAGATTTTTAGTAAATTATATTGTTGTGTTCTTTTGACTTTGTAGTAGATGAATTGTGAAACAGTGAAACTAGATTTTGGTTAGTTAATAGTTTTTTGATCACACTTGAGCCGATAATTAATTGTACGTAATTGACGAAATCTGTTCGTATATGTTCAACTTTAATTTAGTTTTAATTTTCTATATAATCTTCACTTAATTTAGTTTTAATTTTCTATATAATCTTCACTTAATTTAGTTTTAATTTTCTATATAATCTTCACTTAATAGAAATCTGTTCGTATATGTTCAACTCAGGCGAGCGATGTCGGAGGAAGATATTTCTGTTGATCATATAGGTACCGAGTCTACAGGTACTGACGTGGTTGATTTGGAGTTTGACGAAAAGGGTATTCCCGTTGCACCTGGGAGGTACAAGTTGGCGGTGGCTATTAGTAACGAGGTTACGCATTGGGATAATTTTGATCCATGTATTTCTTGGCCTAACCACAAAAAAATGGGCCATGTCGAGGGATTGTGGAAAGCGTTTAAGGTATTTGTATGTAATTTTTATTTTATTTAAGTTATTTAATTTTTTGTTTCATTTCAATTGTATATTTTTTATATTTTATTTAGGAAACTTGGAAACTTCCTGAAAATGAGGCTACAAAAAAATGGTTCAATGAGACTGCTAACGGTCGTTGGAAAGATGGAAAAACTAAACGATTGAAGGCAGTCTTTGATAGAGCTTCAGACCTTGCCACGGCTAAGGCAAATTGTCCAAATAGGATTAGTGTTCAAACTTGGGAGAAACTATGTGATCAATTTCATTCTATTTCCACTCCTGGTGTTGATGGGAAGGTAAATTATATATATTTAATTTATGGAAAATGTTTAAATATATTAAAGAGTTTTAATTTTTTGTGTTATTGTTCATAGTCCAAATCAACCAAATGCAAGGATTCGCGAAAGAAAGTCTCGACAGACCACCATTGGGGTCGAACAAGTATCAATAGTTGGTCCCACAATCATGTAAGTAATTTGATCTATAAGTTTAATTTATTTAAGTTTAAAATAGATACTTACTTTATAATATTTTAGTATAGTTTAAAAAATTGGGCAAAAATCCTACGGTGTTTGATACGTATAAGAAAGCATATATGGGCATTGATGTACTGAGGGAAACCGGGCCAACTATTAGTGAGGAAGGAGATACGGAAGAACCGTATAATGGGATAGCAACTCCCGAACAACTTCGCATTTCGGTAAGTGTAATGCAATTTTATTCTTCAATTGGTTGTATGTTAATTATTTATGTTTATTGTTGTCGCATGTTTATCATATTTAATTATTTGATATGTTAAATTAGTACGTAGTTGAGATATGTGGATATGAATATTTGTTTTAAATAATGTTAAGTTGTTGTATACATGGATGGTTTTTTTGGGGATGTTCATTTATTAGTTGTTATGTTGTCGAAATTTTTGCTAAACAAGTGTACTTAATCATTTTCAGGCTGATTTGGAACGAGTGTACGATGAGACAATTCGTGATGGAAGTGACGAAAGCACGGCCAACTCAATTGCGATAGAAAAAGTGCTCGGAAAAAGCAAAGGGCTTGGAATTAAGATTGCAACCACCACAAAGAGTTCAAAGTCGAGATTTTCTTCAATTCCGCCGGAAGTGCAAATGGAAATGAATTCAATGAAAGAGCAAATGCAACTTAAAGATGAAAAAATGGAAAGATTGGAAGCGGAATTGAAAGAAACCCGAGAAATTGTGAACACCTTAGTCGGTCGTTTTGGACTACAAGCCTCGACATCGACTCCTTCCAATGATGGTGGAGTATAAAAAGGGATGAATTTTGTTTGGTTTTTGAATTAAAGTTTGAAACACTACATTATATGCTTTTAAGTTTTTATGTACTTTTTTAATTTATGTTTTGTGCTACCTTGACACGATCTTAATCCGTATCAATGGTTTTAATATTTTCGATATAAGTGTATTTTTTTTTTGTACAACTGCAAAATACAGGTTGAATTTCTTAATTGGAAAAATAAATAAACCAGAAATTATATTAAAAAAAAAAAAAAAACCTAGCGACGAATAAATAAAACAAATCGTCGCAAATAAATCGTGGAACTTGCGACGAAAACTGTTATCAGTCGCAAACTTTTTCGCAAACGTAGCGACGAAACCATCACAAAACGTCGCTTAATGTAGCGACGAAATACCTAATTCGTCGCAAAGGGTTGCGACTTATTATAGGATCCGTCGCGAATATTAAAAAAAACATTTTTTCCAGAAAATACGAATGTTGCGACGATTTATGACATTCGTCGCCAATCTTTGCGTCGAAAAAATCTTTTCGTCGCAGACCTTGCGACGGGTCATTTGGCGACGTTTTTTGTAGGATTTGGCGACGAAAAAATTTCGTCGCAACGCGTAAAAAATCGTCGCCAAATGCACATTTTCGTCGCCAAATTTCGTCGCCAGTCGACCATTTTGGGTATATACTGATTTTTTTAATTTTATTTACAAATGTTTATGTATGGCCACGTTAGAAGGAAAAAAAATCATAATTTAACTTTTTAAATTTAATTTTCTATTATAGCTAATTCTGTAAAATATTTTTTAAATCGCAATCCTTAATCTCTATTAAAACACACGATAAAAAGAATAATTGAACATAAAACAAGAAAGTATTTTTTTTCTTCTTTCTTCTCAATACTTTAAGTTTTCAATCTATCGTATTTTCTATGTATTTCAAGATTTTTATTTTTTCTAAACACTTTTATTGAGATTTGAACTAACGCATTCTATATTATAGTTTATGTTATTAATGTCCATAAATATTTCTTTTGACAACAATGTCTATAACTAATTAAGTATTTTCGTTATCTTTTTCACAAATATCTCTAAAAAAATTCGGGAGCGCTGCTCCTAAACCCTCGCCAGATTTTCATCAACCCTCTCAAATTTTCAGCCACTCAAACCGAAAAATCCTGGTTCCGCCCACGTATATGATCTATGACTGCACTCGAATTTACACAAGGTCTAATGAGAAGAAGACCATCACTCCATATTATGAAAAAAAAAAAAATTAAACAAAATTTTACTAGTAGAACATTAGGCCCCAATTTTAGGCCCAAATGAAACTTTTGGACTATGGAATTAATTAATAGTACTTCTGTGGATTTTTTTTCACACTATTGGCGTTTCCTTTTATCTGATTTTTTATTAGCCAATAACCAAAAAAACATGACACTACCAAATCTAAAGACAATGAGTTGTAGTATGTCCCAATTCTTTAGTACTCATATTCTTTGTCTTCATAGTACAATATTTCTAATCTTGTCTCAATTTTTTTTTCATCTTCAATTCATAATCCCAACTAAAATCAAACTAACCAAACTCTTTGTTTATCATAACCTTCACAAATTCTCAAGTTTGGTAGTTCAACAGTTTCTCAAAGCCCTTCCCACAACATATATATACCTCTACATTCCATCTCCAAATTCACACACACAAAGATAAAGTTTTTTTGCCGTTGAAAAAATATGCACACAATGAAAGGGCTAATGATGAAGGCAGTTTTACTACTCTCCATCATGTCTTTTTACTCTTTTTGCTCGGGTGCTTCGAATTCGTCGAACAAGATCGGCGTAAACTACGGTCGACTAGGCAACAACTTGCCATCGCCGTTCGAATCGATCCAACTCCTCCTCTCCATGAAAGCCGGCCATGTAAAGCTCTACGACGCCGACCCGGAAGTCCTGAAGCTCCTGTCCGACACGGACCTCCACGTCACCATCATGGTCACCAATCAAGAAATCTCGATGATCGCCTCCAACGAATCACACGCCGACGCGTGGATCGACGACAACGTCCTCGCCCACTACCCGAGCACCAAGATCCGGTTCATTCTAGTGGGCAACGAGGTTTTCAGCTACAACGACCGACAGTTGTGGCTCGATTTAGTGCCCGCCATGCGGAGGATCAAGAGGTCACTCAACAAGCACCAGATCCACAACATCAAAGTCGGGACCCCCCTCGCCATGGACGCGTTGGAATCGACATTCCCGCCTTCGAGCGCGCGATTCCGGTCCAGCATTCCGGCAGAGGTGATTGTGCCGTTGATGAGATTCTTGAATTCGACCAAGTCTTTTTTCTTCGTGGATGTCTACACCTACTTCCCTTGGTCCGTTAATCCCACGAACACGAGCCTTGATTATGCGCTCATGAAGAGTGGGATTAACGAGACGTATAAGGACCCTGTAAGTGGTCTTACATACACAAACCTTCTCGACCAAATGTTGGATTCGGTCCACTTCGCCATGCAGAAACTCGGGTTCAATAATGTTAGGGTTGCTATAGCGGAAACAGGGTGGCCCCACGATGGGGACTTTGATGAACCGGGTGCAAATGCATACAATGCGGCTACTTATGTATCTAATCTTGTGGCGAAAGTGACATCGGATCCGCCAATTGGGACTCCGGCTAAACCCGGAATCGAGATTCCAACCTTTGTTTTCTCTTTATACGACGAAAATCAGAAGCCGGGGCCCGGAACGGAAAGGCATTGGGGCCTACTCAGTAACACTGGAAGCCCAATTTACGAGGTATAAATATATATGCACCTTTTTTCGTCTTTTTTTTTTCGGTTTGTTACATTCGCCACCCAACTATTTTTCCTAATTGTTAAAAAAAAAACTATATTAACTTTATTGGCAATAAACCCCTATGATTAAATTTTTGCAGCAAGCTATCCCAAAAAACTAACTATTTATGTACTAAAAAGGCATTATAGAGGGGGTTTAACCAATAATTTAAAATTGAAACTATGTAATATATGAAAAAAAAATAATAATAATAGGGAAGGAACAAGATAAATTTAGTTATGCAAAAACTTTGCTAATTAACCTAAGTATTTGATTTGTCCTAGGTGGACTTAACCGGGACAAGCCACGAAAACAACACAAAGTTATCAGAGCCATCGAACAACGGGCCTTACAATGGGAAGATATGGTGTGTGGTGGCAAGCACGGCCAGCCCGGACGATTTGGGGCCCGCATTGGAATTTGCGTGCAGACAGGGGAACGGCACTTGCGACCAGCTGGCACCCGGTAAAGAGTGCTACGAGCCTATATCTATTGTTTCACACGCAAGCTATGCATTCAGCTCTTTCTGGGCTCAGTTTAGAAGTGCCGGTGCATCTTGCTACTTCGGCGGCCTTGCGGTTCAAACCATTACGGACCCCGGTTTGTTTTTGTTTTTCATTTCGCCGACATTAAATATATATATATATATATATATATATATATATATATATATATGGTGTATCGAGTTTATTGCAATTAGTACCCCTGTGTTATATTGAATTCTTGAAAGTTATTTTTTTGGCAAAAATACCCCTATGATTTTTATTTTTTTTCTTGCCAATCAAATAACATATGATAGTTTTTTAGCAATTCAATATAACACAGAGGTATACTAACTGCAATAAACTTGAATATAAACTCTATCGAGTTTATTGCAAGTATCGTTCGATTCTTGTTGGATTAAAGTCACTTATTTGAATATGTTTGAACAGGTCATGGTTCATGCGAGTTCCCAAGTGTGTTGCTCTGAATGTGGTTCATTGGCGATTTGGATGTGCTTCGATTATGATCGTTCTATTTAATGTTTGTTTGTCTTCTTTTTTTTTTTTGCTAATGCACATGTAGCCTATTGGCATATGCTTCAAATAATTTGATATCACAAAATGTGGGTTCGATTTCATTTCGAATATTGTTTGCTTTTCATATATGTGTGTGTTTGTGTGTATATATATATATAAACACACACACATGGTATTATGTTCTAATGAGGCCACCCCCGGAGCAGCGTTACCCCTGCATTGGACCATCCACATTTATTTTCACTGGCGGAATCCATTTGATCCAGTCCGTTCTTTAACCTGCAAGTTGAGAGCTTGTAATAGCTTTCCTCAAGTTAGTTGACGTCGGCACTTTGACAATCATGATTTCATTCAAATCTCGAAGGAGAGGGTATATGTTTCGTATGATAGTTATTCCAGTGTTCTTCAGGATATCCTCGAATATTGCCGAACATCTGCTCTTCCAAATTTCCCAACAACCAAACATTAAAACTCCAAGAGCCAGTAAGCCCTCATGAGTGTTACGTTGGTATTGAACTCGTAAATGTTGCATCGACCCATAATTGGAGGGTTTATACGAAAACAATGCTAAGTAAGTACTCCAAACTCCCCGTACGATGTCTGATTTAGCAAATAAGTGAGCTAGGGTTTGCACAACACCGACACATTGAAGGGCGTGGACGTACGTACAACCTCTACGGCGCATGGTCATGTCGACGGGGAGAGCACCGTAAGATAGTTAATTTCCAGAAAAATGCAGCAATTTTAAGAGGAATTTTGGGATCAACCAGGGACGTTTTTCGTATCAACCAGGGATCGAAAACCTAATCCACCCTCTTCACGTGGTTGGCACAGCTTCTCCCCACAAAAAAATTACGTATAATAACTAAAAATAGTTTATAAGCTCAATATATCCAAACACTTATAAAATATTCTAAAAGTAAAACATAATAGATTATCAGTTTTTAAAATAACTTATCAAACCTCAGAATTTATCAATTGCGTAAATAAGTTTAGCCTAACGGGACCTAAATTTACTACTTGGAATGAGTGACTAAAATAAAAACATGGGGCTATTTGATATAGCCCCTCAAAACTTTTTTTAATATGGAGAAGTTCAAACTATTTTGCACTATTTGAGAAAAACCCACTCCTAATTTCAACCACTCACTTTTCCAATTATGTCCCCTTTTTTTGTCATTTCATCAGCACTATCCGCCCATGACCCAGCCGTGTTTTTTTTTTTTTTTTTAATTATTATCTTTTTTAAATTCATTTTTTTTAATTTCTTTTTTTGTTTTTTAACTTTTTTTCTCTATCACGTATATTAATCGAGTATGAAGCATGTTAAATCGACTATGATGAACTATAGTCGATTGAGGAACCGACTACTAAAAATAACAAATCACAATTACAAAAATGCAAACTCGACTATATTTTACAAAAATAAACAATATACAAACATTATAATTGATTTATACAATTGGAATCAATAAACCAAAAATCCCCAAAAAAATTAAAAATTGGAGTCAATGAAGCATATTAATCGACTATGATATGAAGCATAGTCGATTAAGAATTTGCTACTATAAATAACAAATCACAACTGCGAAAAAATGCAAAATCAACTATATATTACAAAAATAAAAAAATATACAAAAATTATAAATGATTTATACAATTGCAATCAATAAACAAAAAATCCTAAAAAAAAAAAATTGGAGACGGTCAACCTTAATTGACTACCAGAGCATAGTCGATTAACTTAATCAACTATTGAACATGTACATAGTCCATTAAGATTCCAGTCTGCGCGAATTTCGCTACACCCGCCGTCCTCCGCCCGATCCACCAAAAAATCCTAAATTTGCCTGCTCATCGTCACCACACCGTCGCACCACACAATTCAACCAATCCTTAACAATAATAAAATAAATAATTTATACAAAAAAACACAAATTAGCATTTCAATGTCCACAAAAACAAATACCTTCATCAACAATTTCCGTTGATTCTCGTCCGACGACGAGTGCTTCCTCTTCTTTCTCATCATGTTCCTCTTCTTCTTCCTCCACACGCCGACGGGGTGAAACATGCTGTTGAGAAAGAAGAGTGTTTCTCCTCCACACACCGACGACGAGTGCTTCATCTTCTTTCTTTCTCCATCTTCCGGCGGCGGCGGTAGTAGCGGCGGGCCGGAGAAAACAGAGAAAAAAAAAACAGAGGAGAGAGAACAGAGAAGAGAGAAAAGATGGAAACGTGAAAGTGGCGGAATGAAAAAATTAAAAATAAGATTAGGATTCTTAAACTGTATAATAGACAATTAATGGTAATTTTGGAATATGAAAATATTACATGGGTGAAATATTAGTTAAGGGGGTTTTCTCTAATTATTTTTTGGAGTGGGTGTTTTCTTAACTATATTTCTTAGATGGACAAATGGCAAATAGACCCATGACAAGGGCACTTGATTCAAAAAAGGGCATCCAACTTTTTTGTTTTGCAAATATTTCCAGCTCATTCAAACTTATTTGCAAATAAGGAAAACCCTTATATATATACCAAAATTACCCCAATTCATCGAAACCCAATTCAACTCTAATTTCATGATTTACACCCCAATTTGGCCCAATTTCACCAATTAACCAATTTTGACCCTAATTTCAATTTTGGCCCCAATTTTGACCCGCCACCACCGGACACCGCCGGTCCCTAGCGTTGACTTTTTTTTTTTTTTTTTTGAATTTGTTTTTCGGTAGGTCAATCGCCGTTGACCGCCGGGTCTCCGGCGTTGACTTTTTTTTCTTTTCTTTTTTTATTTTTATTTTTATTTTTTCTTAAAAAAATATTTTGATTAATATTACTGTCTCCGCTACTAAATTACTGTCTCCAGCAGTTATTTAACTGTCGGAGACGGTAATGTAACTGTTTATTGACTTTTTTTTTCTTAATAAAATATTTTAATTAATATTACTGTTTTGGCTACTAAATTACTATCTCCAACAATTATTTTAACTATCGGAGACAGTAATTTAACTGTTAATTGATATTTTTTTTCTTAAAAAAATATTTTAATTAATATTAATGTCTTTGCTCTAAATTACTGTCTGCAGCAGTTATTTATCTGTCGGAGACAGTAATATTATTTGACTCTACATTAATGTGATATATTTGTTTAAATCCGGGGTCAATGTGTAATATTAAGGAAGTTAGAGCATAATTGATGGAATTGACAAAAAATATATTATGGAGGGTATTTTTTTACTAAATACATGAGGATGGGTTTATTTAAAAGACTGTTTATTTTGTGGATCAATGTGAAATTAAGTCCCTTGGGATGGACTTTTTGCCATTCGCCCTAGTATTTTTGGTGATTGTATTTTTATTATTTTGGTTTCTACCCATTTTGGGATTGTAGGGCACTCTTTTATCCTTATGTAGGTAGGCCCACAAGGTTTTAAGGAGGCCCCAAATATTTTAAGATAATGGAATAATAAAGTATTTTTAGCAAAAATTAAAATAAAATAATATCGACGCTTGAACTTTTTAATTATTATTATTATTATTATTATTATCACTTTTATTATTATTATTATTATTATTATTATTATTATTATTATGATTATTATTATTATTATTATTATTATTATTATTATTATTATTATTATTATTATTATTATTATTATTATTATTATTATTATTATTATTATTATTATTATTAAACGGGAGGCAGAAAGATGTTGAAGAAAAAAAAAATCGAAAAAGTCAACGCCGGAGACCGGCGGTCAACGGTGCCAATGGACGAAATTGTCAATAAAATTGTGTTTTGGGTCAAAATTGAATAATTTGTGAAATTTGGGGTCAAATTTAAGTTAGATTAAATTAAAGGGTGACATTGGAGCATAATAAGATGTGAGGGACTATGTTAGTCTTTTACAAACCTCTGGACTATATGTGGATCTTTTTGTAAAAGAGTTTTTTTGTCTGAACCCCTTCAAGAATAAGTACACATTGATGCGCTTACTTGTAAAGTGCCCTTCCTAGATATGGATTTTTTTCTAATCTATATATAATATAAAAAAAAAAGATCTATGCCCTCAATGATTGACATGTGTCAAATAATGATGTCATTTATCAAAATTGCATAGTTGGAGTTCAATTGATGAGATGGATTCTTCAATTGGTGAGTTGTCAATTTTATTTTGGTATGTCTTTAAGTTATTTCATATATATAACATTTATACACTCATTTAAACAATTACCACATGTATATATATTATTTCCAAAGTTAATATTTTATAAATTCGAAATAAAAAAATCTTATTTATATTTTCAGTATTTCAAAATACATTTATTAAGAAAATGCACGATACTCATTTTTTTACAAATATTCAAATAATTTTCAGAAAAAAATATTTTTTTTAAATATTAAAATATTAAAATAAAGGAATACAATTGTTTTTTGTTTTTTGAATTTTCAATATTTTGGAATATTCGAATATTCATTCCATTAAAAATAATTATATAATTTTTTTTTTATTTTTTTATTGTACTGTTTAATAAATATACAATATTTTTTTGTATATAACTTCTATTACACCGTATTTCAAATTATAAATATAGTATATTTCAAATTATAAATTAGGTATACGTAAAATAATTGTCAAAGATGGTATCAATTATACCTAGGGATGGCAAAAAAAACCCGAACCGCTAGCCATCCGCAGGTATTCGCTCCGTTTAAAACCCGTTACCGAAACATTTCTATATATATATATTTCTATATACATTTCTATTATACCGTTAACATTTATATACATATATATATATATATATATATATATATATATATATATATATATATATATATATATATATATATATATATATATATATATATATATATATATATATTAATGTTTATATTTATTTAATCACAACAAAATATGTATTTAGTAAAATATAAATATCTTTTTTAATCCTACCCATATGAAATTATCATTCTCTTTCAATTCGAAATATGTAATATATTATATTAGTATTAATATTATGATTATTATTAGTATTATGATTGGAATATGATTATAATTAGTATTCTCAATTATAATTAGGATTAACA